ATTGTTGTTCGACCGACGGACGAGTAGGTTTTTTTTTCTCTCTCTCTCTCTCTCTCTCTCTCCCTCGGTTAACCCCCTGAGGCCAAATCCCTCTCTTCGAGCGGGTTTACCAGACCGACGCAGCCTCGGCCTTATTCCAAGCTTTCATCTCCAGACGAAGGAGCCCGACGAGGAAGGCGGCGCACACGTGGTCGAGAGGAGGCCGGATCAATGAATAAGAGGCGGGTTTGTGGGGTCGGCCCTCCAGGTGTCAAAAGGCAAATAAGAATAAGGCTCGTTGCAACAGCACGAGGCTCAAGCAGCACGTGCATTAGGCATTCGAGGTGAACAACCCCTCATTCCGTTTTTTTTTTTTACTTTTGCAAGACCCTGGCAGCTCCCGCTGCAAAAGTGGGATGAGATTCCATTGGAATGGAGTCGGCTCGGCGGCGGGTATTAAAAAAAGGCAGAAAAAAGAAAGAAAAAAAAACGCCGCGCTGGGAGGGTGCGTGCGTGGGGAGAGGAGTTGTCTCATCATTCATTACCATTTTTCCTACTTCGCCGCCCCGGCGCCCCAGGTCGCTCACCGAAACAAGGGAACCGTCTCTAGGGCCCTCTCCGCGCGGAGCATCACCATGTAACATTGCATTGAGGCTACACAGTCAAACGCGAATAGGCGAGACTTTACGTGCGGAGCAGCGCTGAGGCCTCGGGCGGCGGTCGCTTCGGAAAATGACAAATGTCTGAACCACCCGAGTTGCTCCTACCTACAGCCCATACTGTACCTACCCCCGAGTCCCCACACCCGTTCAACGGAGGAGGCTCGGCCGGGGGGCGCGATAAGCGACGAGGGTGTCACCAAATTTCCCGCCTGGGGGGGCAGGCTAGCCAAGCCACTCGAGTGAGGAGCCAGAGCTGTCGGGCGGGGAGGGTGACGAGGGTGTGAAAATCTCATGGTGCGGGTAGAAGAGCAGCCGGCATAGGTGAATCTGATATCACCATGGAGGCGCCGCACCTTACTAACACGACTCTAGGCGCGCCCGGCGGAGCACTAGCTTCTACATCAGCAACCCAGCCCGGGGACAAGCCACCCTTGGGGGCGAGCACCTCGGCACGTACGTACACAACAGGTAAGCGGGTTGTATCATGTGGCTGGGCATTGGTGCCAGCTGTCTCCGTCTCGATAGTCGTTATTACTACACGGTTGCAAAGCCAAGCCTGGGGAGGTTGCGCTGTCAGAGAGAAACAAATATAAGATACAATGAATAAAAGACCGAGAGAGAGAGAAAAAGAAAAAAAAAGAAAAAAAAGAAAGAAAAAAAGAGAAAAAAAAGAAAAAAAAGAACCGCCAACTTTTCCAAGCTTACCCCGGATTCAGTTGCAGGTGGTGTTGGATTTTGCTTCTTGGTGCGGGCTGTTGCAGCCCCGTGTCGCGTCCCAAAACCTCCCCATTCCCAAAGCAGGCATTCAAGTTGGCAAAGGTCGCAAGCATTTACGCAATGGGGGACCCATCCCACCCATCCATCCTCCTGCCCACCCCTCCAGGTTTATTTGAATGACATTTGCGAAGATCTGCTGTGACCACCCGCCTTGCCGGGAGCTAGCAGCTGGACATGGGAGATCAACAGCCAAGCCGATAAAATCTGCGTCCAGTCAGGGTCAGACCAGCCGCCTTGCCTATTACGTAAAAAGGCAGCCCAGGACGCCAACGTCGTGGGAATCTCCCACACTTATGTTTTGCTTTGTAAACTTGGGTGATATTTGAGGACAGGATCCCCCAAGATACGAACGTCACGTCACGTTATGGTAAAAAAAAATTAAAAAAAAAATTGGAGTGGGGATGGATTTAAAGGGACGGGAGATTCTACAAAATGACACCAGACGTCGACCGCTGACACGGGGCTGTGGATCACAGGAAAAAAAATGTGAAGGCACCGAAGAAGGACCTTTCCACACCCCACTCTTGGCGGTTTTCGGCGGACACACAAGGCAAGCAAGCCCTTGCGTCTTCCCTTATCTTGACTAGATCCACCCCCTTGGCGACTTGGCCTCTCTCTCCTTGCTGTCTCCGCCTGACAACGGCCAAAGAATTTAGCAAAGGTGATCCCTCCCCACGATGCGCTGGGTCAGGTGCCATGACGATCCAGACCTGCCTGTGGGAGCTGAGCGCTGAAGGGCGCTTGGCGAAAATGATTTGGGATTGGCCCCGTGGGGGTGGAAGAATGACGGGGGCGGACGAAAAACCTATCGTACCAAAGCCGCGGTGGTGGAAATTGGAGCCAAAGATCGGCTTTTTTCAGCGCGGAAACAGCAGGGAAAAAAAGAGAAGAAAAAAGAAAAAAAGAAATGCTCTGGGGCTTCACAAGTTTCTCAAGGCGTCAGTCACCAGCTCGTCCTGAGAACTCGAGTGGTGCGCCCCCTCACCCCCACTTTCCGCAAAACACAGTCCAATTCGATCCGTTTAATCTGTGGCCAAAAAAGTCCAACCAGCGACACGCCCAAAGAGTAGCTTACAACGAGGCATGGAGGAAACAGTTGGTGCTTGGTTTGAATATGCTCCTGGCCGGCGGCGCTTGAGCTCTCTGGCCGAGCACCCTGCTTGTTAGCATTAAATGCAAGGACCTTTTTGGACTGCATTGTCAGAGGATGACATTTCCCCCGACCATCGCTATCCCAATGTGGCTTTCCAAAGTTTGTGTTTTTTTCTTTATGAAAGTCCTCCACTTTGCTTTGCCAACTAACCTAGCATGGCCATAGCCAACTCATCGGTGGGTGGGCGGCAGGCAAGGCGACACACACTCTCACACACACGCACACACACCTGAAAATGCAAAGAGTCAGGAGCAGAAGCCGTGATCCAATTGTTTGTGCATGCAGCACCGCCCGGTTGGCGCCAGCCGCCAGTGCGGTGGCCTTGGGTCTCCCTATTTGCTGCAATGCTGGCTGCAGTCACGTCAGCCACCTCAAACCCAACTACACCGCCCGGCTGGGCAGGGGAACGCCATTCGACAGTCGGGTTTGGGCGGGAAAAGAACAACAGCCCACCTTGGGAGGGCGGGGAATATCTGTCGAGGGCTTCCGGCAGCAACCACGGGAGCCAGCCAACGAACGGCCGGGGCTTGGTTGTCCATGTTCGTCGCGTGGTGATTGTTGTTGGTGCCGCTGCAGGGGATCAATCAACAGCTCCGAAGGCGGCGAGCTGTCCCACACGACCGAGAATGACTTGGGAGGGCTCTCAGGCCAGGTGAAGCGAAGGTGTATTGGCTGGCGACGGGACGGGAACGAGGGAGGGCTTTGGCTCTGTTGGCATTCCTAAGCCCACACTACCTGTCTGATGCGTCCCAGATTTACCTGCACCCTTGGGCGTGGACGATACCCAATCTCAACGCGGTTCCTGGCCTAGGCGGTTCTTTACGCCCCCTTCTTCGTTTTTCCTGAATCCGTTTCCCAAATGGTCCGGCAGGTATACCAGTGCGAGTGTGGTACGGGGACACATGGACTTGGTGCGAAGCAAGTGCCTGGGCCGGACAAAGGCGGGGAGACGGACCGGGGTAGAAAGCGTCCAACTCGCCACACTGGGGGAGAATCAGGGGAAACGACTGGAACGGCCAGAACAGTCCAGGCACGATAACGTCCAACGGCGTGCGTAAACGTCTTGACGCGGCCGAACCTTTTTTTTTTCTCTCGCTTTTTTTCGGGCTCCGTCGTCCTTTGAACACAAAGAGTGGGAGGGGTTGCAAAAAGCATCAACTCGCGTACCTTACCGAGCAATATCGGAGCATATCAACTGCACACCATCACATCACGTCTTTCACTTTTAGATTTATCTTGGTTCGGCTGGGCGCACGATTTAAGTCCGTAAACGAAGGAGAAAAAAAAACAGGCTTCCACACCCCCTGCCAGATCAATGACACAGGTTAAGAACACAGAAGGGGTGACGGGAAAAGTGCCCAGCCCGCCCAGTATCTCCAAGAAACGACACCGTGGTATGCCTGACTTGACATTAGTGATGCCATGTGCACCCTGGTCGCCGACACCAGGAAACAAGGTCGGCCCCAAGGTAGCAGTCGTTTCGTCTCTGGCTCGGTCGCGGACGCAGGAATGATGCAGACAGTAACGTCGACCTGCCTGGCTAATGTGACGAAGAACTGGGCGCTTGCGAGTCCAGAACGTTGAGCGATGCAAGGAGGAGCAGGCGGCGTCGAGAGGTAATATGCATTTTAATTTCTTAAAATGGTATCTTTATCCCCTGCTACTTCGGCTGGGTTTGCAGGCGACTTGGACTCGCCGGGGGTCGCCCTCGGCTTCTTCCTCCGCCCCTTTTCCCCGGCTTTTTGGTCGGTTAGACGATACGGGGTGACGACTCACAGAACTATGCCCCCAGATCAGTCCAGCCAGGCGCCGGTGTCAGATCAGGGGCTGGCTGAGAGACTTGGCTTGGGGGGGCCTGATAGCAGATGTGACATTGCTCAGCTCAACAGCTGCTGGTACCTCTTGTAATGTGCATGGCGTGCGGCGGCGCTGGCCGCGGGCTTTTGCCAATGGCCTTTTGGCCTGACGCTCCACCACCCATCCATTCGATGGGCCAACAGACACCCCGCCCCACCCCACCCCACGCCCATGCCCACACCCACGCCCACACACCCCCCTGCCGCCCGGCCAAAGACCCACGCCCCTCCATATCTTGGCCCCCCTTCTCAGATCCCAGTCTCTCCCCCTTCTCCACATTGTCCTCCACCCCACCCACATTGCTCCCTAGCTGCCGACCCGCCCGACACCAGACAGCCTAAGCCCAGCAGCCCACGCCCCCCCGGCGAGCGCCAGCAGGGCCAGCGGCAGCGAGCGCCAGCAGCCCAAGCCTGAGCCAACTTTAAAAGGGAAACTGGCCCCTCCAGCCCGTCTTGTGAAAATTTGTGGCGACCTGCTCCAACCGTATGTGCTCTTGCATTTGACTCGAAAAAAACCCACCCCAATCCCCCACGTTCCAGCGGCCTCGTTGCAAGCTTTCAGCTATATATCCGCCATCGCGCCTGCCCGCCCAGCCGTAACTCCAGCCGCACTCCAAATTCCCCAGCACAAGTTGCCGCTGCAGCCAGCACCCGCCTTTTCCCCACCGCCCAGCTACCAAAGCTTCTGCACCAGCGGGATTTTTTTTTTCGCGTCTTCCCGCACCCCACGCCACCGTCGCGCTGTTTTTTTTGCCCAACGGTCAAAGCAAAAGGAACAAAGGAACAGCAGCAGCAGCAGCAGCAGCAGCATCTACCCAATAACAATATTCTACCACACAACAAAACACCAGGACCCTTGTACGCCAGTGCTGCCCTAGTTTGCAGCTGGCTGGAATCGACGCTCCTAACATAGGGGCAAGCAAGAGTTTCGGGAATCCGTCGAGCGGTGACTCGGAACCGGTGATCACATGCAACGCGCACAGTCTTCAGTGGATTTCGCCAATCTACTGAATCCCGACACGGCTCCCGCAGGCCCTGCCCAGCAACAGCCCGCAATCCGAGAGACGGCAACAGCAGCAGGAACAGACATGGCAGCCGTCACCGCCATCCGGCCCAATGGCCCTCTGCCCAACGGCCAGTCCGTCTCGGAGCCGGCCAACATGGAGATGCCGCGGCCCTACAAGTGCCCACTCTGCGACAAGGCGTTCCACCGCCTGGAGCACCAGACCAGACACATCCGCACCCACACGGGCGAGAAGCCTCATGCCTGCCAGTTCCCCGGCTGCAGCAAAAAGTTCTCCCGCTCCGACGAGCTCACTCGCCACTCGAGGATACACAACAACCCGAACTCGCGGAGGGGCGCCAAGGCCCAGGGCCAGCACCACCCCATGATGGGAGGCGGCCCCGACGGCATGATGCCGCCGCCTCCCCAGGGCCCCAAGGCCATCCGCTCGGCTCCTCCCTCGATCCTGGGATCGCCCAACGTCTCGCCGCCCCATTCCTACTCATCGTACGCCACGCCGACCTCGGGCTTGAATCCGCACACAAGTCCCTACTCGTACCACCGCGTCCCCGCCCCCCCTACCTCGCACAACATGGACATCACCATGCTGGCCAAGGCCGCCCACCAGGTCGAGAGGGAAAACCTGATGGCGCCGCCGCACCACCACGGCGCCCGCCACCACCCTTACTACATGCACAGCTCGCACTCGTCCCGCGGCCACCTGCCGTCCCTGTCGAGCTACCACATGTCCAGGTCGCACTCGCATGACGACCACGACGACCACTACGCGTCCTCGTACAGGCATCCGAAGCGGTCGAGGCCCAACTCGCCAAACTCGACGGCGCCCTCGTCTCCCACCTTCTCGCACGATTCGCTCTCGCCGACGCCCGACCACACGCCGCTCGCCACGCCGGCCCACTCGCCTCGCCTGCGGCCGTCGTACCCCGGCACGACATCGTACGAGCTCCCGCCATTCCGCTCCCTCAGCCTGCAGCAGCACACGACGCCCGCCCTGGCCCCGATGGAGCCGCAGGCCGACGCCCAGTACTCGTCGGGCCCGGCGCCTCCCGCTCCCTCGAGGTCCGGCGGCATCTCGCTCGCCGACATCATGAGCAGACCGGACGGCTCGCAGCGCAAGCTGCCCGTGCCCCAGGTCGTCCCCAAGGTGGCCGTGCACGACCTGCTCACGCCCGCCGACGGCTTCCACCACCACATGAGCGGCCGCAGTTCGTCCTCCAACAGTATCTCGGGCGGTGACCTCATGGACCGCATGTGAGCCGCGTGTGTGGAGGTAGCGAGGAAGAGATGGGAGCAAGCTGGCGGAGAACAATGTCCTCTGCCTCTTGCCCATGACGCCTTGGTATGACATGATGACGAATAAACTGTCTCTTTGCGTGTTCTGGGATAGAAATGGGGAATAGACTGGATAACCGGCGTCTGTTGCGATTGTCTCGCTTTTTTTGTCAAGCACTTTTTTTTCTGTTTGTATCCCTTACTACCCGTTTGGGACTGTTTTCTCCATACACCTTCAGGAATTCTCCTAATCTGCCGTCCTGGTATTTCCGGGCTGGCTTTTACTCGTCTTTCTCCTTCCATTGTGACTTTTTCTTCTATCACGGCAGCGATCATGTGCACCTGACACATCGCTGGGACCTTGGTTGATAAAATGAGATGGGCTTTTCTTTTCCTTTTTTAATAGTTACACCTGGTGTTCCTACAACCACCGCGTTCTCGCGAAGCCTTGTCTTTTGTTATCTCTATCTCTCACTCTCCGCTACTAACCTGTGTTTACCATGTTCTAGCACTCAACTCTTGTCACAAAAAAGTATAACCATATCCTTTCAATCTGTTTGTAAATGTATGGGGCGTCCCCGAGGAAGAGAAGAATACGAGAAACTCTACGCTGTACCATTGATGCCATGGTCCTCCACCCCTCATTTGCTTGATCCAGGGCTGATGTGACGAAAGCAAAGGACGGGAGATAAAAAAAAAGGGGGCGGCGGTTGCTTGTTCCCCCCGCACGAAAGGCGGTCGTTTTGTTCCGGGGTGGCTTCCCCGGGTCACATTCGCTAGGGGTACCTTTTGTTTTATTGCCAGATACCGGATCTAGGTGTGTTGTTCCGGGATGGGTATCATTTCTCGCCTGGCTGTTAGTTGCGAAAAAAAAAAAAAAAAAACAACAACGGCGAAACGACCTTGCCTAGTCGTAGGGAGGTGTCTAGCGCGGGCCTTGGAGGAACCTATGGCAGCGAGCAGACCAGGCCCTACCTACGTTTGTTTGCTACTATTTAGAGCAAGGGAAAAGAGAAACGTACCTAGGGGCTTGGTACACGCTTGAGTGACCGGATGTCCGGGACCAATTTTGTTGCCCTTTTTTTTTTTTTATTCCCTTCTTCCTTTTTTCTTTTTCTTTTTCTCAGTCGAGGGCCCGTGCAACGGAACACGCGTGATGGGTTCCAGCTCAGCTCAGCCTCCTTTCCCTTGTGTTGTCCACCTATCCCATTTCCCACTCTTGTTCCAATCCCCCTCGCTTCCCCGGAGGCGCCGCGGCACGGCAGCGAATGGGTGGTGGTGATGACAGGGTTTTTTTCTTCTTTTTGGGTGTGAGCAAGAGGATTCAAAGAGGAAAAAAAAAAAAAAGGAAGGGGTGTGGTGATAGCGGTAGCGGTCGCGGGAGCGGCAGGGACAACAAAACACTGCCACACACAAGCGAGGCAGGCGGGCGGCGCGGGGCCAAGAGCAAGCAACATGGCAGAGAACAGCAGCAAACCGCAGGCCGCAGGGCAAACAACGCAAACGGCTTTCTGCTGCAAGCAACGCAAGACGGAAATTTCTCCCCGGGGAAGGGTCAGGAGAGGGTCAGGAGAGGGCGGCGCAGGCAGCGAGCGAATGGGTTGGCCTAGTTCTGCTCTTCTCACTCGCTCGCTCACTGCCTCAATCTTGGGGGTTGCGCCGACCCTACCGTGCCTCATCCCTAAGCTTTGTCACACGCCCACCCGACTTTTGTTCGTTTTTATTTATTTAATATTATTCTCTGCTTATTATTGAACAAGAAGGAAGAAAAGGCTTCTGTGGTCTGATGCTGTCATGGTCCCCCTCCATCATCTCGTCCATCCCACCTTGCCCTGTCCCAACAGGATCGGAGCGGCGTGTTATTTTTGTTTGTTCTTTTGTGATGTGCGGGGCCCCGGCCTTTCTTCCCCAGGTGAAGGAGCGTAGCGCACCTGCTGGCTGGGTAAGCGGCGTGGTTCGACGCCTTGCGGTCCGGGGAGACGCCGCGAGATAGAAAAAAAAAACCCCCGAAATTTCAAAGCCCGGCCGCTTATCAGCAGCCGCCATTCGGCAAACAACGAAACATGCATGAATACGCCCAAAACTCGACGAGTTGGCAACTGAAACCCACGAGCCAAGAAAAGCCAAACAAATAGAGAATGATAATGATAATGAAAAAAAAAGAACACGGCTTACCGCCAATTGACCGCATCAGCAGCTTTGCCCGCCTTTCCCACAGTTTCCCGCTCCCTGACCGCGTTTTCCGATCTCATAAAAGAAACCGTACCGGCGCGCTGTGGCTATCTTACCACCCCCCACAACCAACCACATCGGCCGTCCCGCGCGCATGGAGGGGGAGTGTAAGCAAGAAAAGAAAAGAGTGTGTTGTTCTTTGTCATGGCGGCCCATCACGAGGGGGACTGGAAGGATGAGTCTTTTACTCGACATGGATGGGCATGGAAGATAGAGGATGACCCGGCCACGCACACGAAAAGAAAAAAAAACAGCGATTCGCGTGGCCCGTTCTATTGCCACACATTTGCCAAAGGGAAAAATCGGTCTCTACCCTCTCGCATCGGGCCTATCAAGACCCTGGCATCTGCCGGATATGGGTGGTGACGGGGTGGCTTCCATGTGGTGAATGGCTGGTTTTCGGGCTGGGCACCCCCTATAGGCAGTCGTCGTGGCCTTTTTTTCTTCTTTCTTTTCTTTCTCCCTGCGCCGCGCCCTGCATGTCTGGTTTGTGTAGGTGCCTATCATATATGTGCCTTCACCGCAACTCTAGGAAGGGAGAAAACCGCATGTTTTGTGATTGCCTTATTTTTTTTTTTTCTCCCGACGCCCCTCTATCATGTCCCGCCCATCCCCGCAGCATCCATGTCACGACGCACTTTGATGCAAGGCAAGGCGGAACATAGGAAGATCGCTCCGCCTCGGAGAGGGAGGAAAGAAAAGTGGCCTCGAACCGGGCTGCCCGTTGATGTGGTTACGTAGATCAAATCAAGAATTGGCAAGACACACACACAAAAATATGATGGACCAGAACACGACGAAACTCGGCACGAGACGCCGCTGGAGAGTGATCTGACCAAACGGGTCTTCCTTTTTCCTCTCTCGGGCGGCCGTTTCATGCAACACACACCAAAACCTGCCCTGCTGTTATCACCCACGTCGTCGAGCAAAAGATGGGCTTGTTACAGTGAACGAGACGGGCTGTTTCTATTTTCTCCCTCTCTTTTTTTCTGGGGCACGATGTGGGGGGTCCCCTAGGCCAAGGGCCAAGGCAACTGGGGAAGAAGGAGGGCTAGGCATTGCCCTCGGGTCTCTTGCAACCTCGCTTTCGGGTTGATGACATGTCACAATCTCGAGTTGTCGCTTGCCGGTAGCATAGCCGCACCACACACACACACACACACTTTGTTGTCTGTCAGTCTTGTGTCTCTCTCTCGGACCCCATCTCTCCTTCTCTTTCTCTCTCTCACAAAAAAACAAGAACAAAAAAAACCAGGCTGCCGGGGTCACGGGGGAATCCGAAACGGGCCACGGGGCTGAACCGGATCAGCGTCCTGACCGGAACCCGTCGGAAATGGGCCTGCAACGCCTGATAACGGACAGAGCCAAGCGATGGCGTGGCGCGGCGTGGTATCCCATCAAATCTCAAATCCCAGAGCAAGGAAAGCGGCGAGTGGAGGAGGGGCTCCTCCCTCTCCTTCCCCCGGAAATGGGGCTCCCAACACATCAAGCTCGCCAGCAGCAGGCGTTTAGGGCTGCGTCATCTCTCGCGCGGCGAACCAACCGCAGCGCCGATGAGATAGGTACCACGCCTCCCGAGTCAGGATGCCTCTCTCGTTCCCGCCGCCCGTCAGCGCCCCTCTTGTTCTGAAAACTCCGAGATAGGAACTGGGCCGGGCGCTCGGCGAGGCATAAAGGCGAGAGAGAAGGAGAAGGGTGCCCTTGCTTGTGATTTTGACCAAGGTTTTTTTTTTTTTTTGGCAATACCGGCCCCGTCGCCTTGTTCCCTCGCACCCCAGCGGGGCGAACTGGGGGAGAATGTGGAGGAAGCGTGGAGGAAGGTCGGCTCGTCGCTGCAGGGGAGCTCTATGCGCCTGAGCCGCCCACGATGTTCCTTCTTTGGGTAGGTCCTCCCGAAAGAAAGGGCCACTTGTCTTGAGGGGTCCCCATGTTATCTTTTTTTTTTTTTTTTTTTTTGGAATGCAACGAAGGGTACATCTCTCTCTCGCCCGTTGTACCAATGTCAGTGCATGTGGACTGCAACGCGATGGCGCTGGTACGAGGCTCCCGTCCCCGTTAGCAGTTCGTCTCCCTTATCGCGCACACAGCTCATGCACCCCCGCTCCCTCCCACATCATTCCATCCGCACGAATCTTGGCCAGAAGCGAGGCGGCACATGAGGTTTCGCCGTTTTGCCTTGATGCATGTCCCCGGGTCGTCGAAACCGGCCGCCCGTTCTGGTCTGGAGAGTGTTGCCAAGAAGGGGACTGGAGCTGGTTGATGGGGAGTAGCAGCGGCAGCACCACCACAATCAGCTGGAGCAACCTGCTTGGGTCACCGTGGGATGGGCCCTTGACGAGGGCGGATGACGTGCTCGAAGCCCACCATCACGAGCCAAGCAGGCGGCGAAGAGAAGGAAAAAAAAAAAAAACCTTGGACTCCGAGCCCCATTGGAAATCGATCGAAAATGCACGGTGAGGGTTGTGCTCCATTTTGCGGCCATGTTTTTTTAGGGACTCTTGCTGCAGCCATCCGGGGGGCTGTAGTGACTGTCTACGTTGATGGGAGGGACGACGCTACGACGGCATTCCTCGTCGGTCCCTGCGGCGGCGGCATGATAGCGACACACGAAGTAGAACCGGGACCTGGATTGCTTTGGTACGAGGGAGGAGGGGGACCCCCACGCCCAGAGATCACCGCCCCGCCCTGCCCTCCTCCCTCCTCCTTCGCTTCCTGATCAGAAGGGGGTGTGGTGGTGTGTGAGGCAGACAGATGGCGGAATCAAAAATGTCTTGGGTGACCTTGGCCCTGGCTGAACCCCACGGGGAGAAGAGAGGTCGGTCGGAAAGGGAAGGAAGGAGGGACCCAATCAATGTCGATCCCCACACACACACACACACACCCCACACGCGGTTCAGTCATGATGGAATTGAAACTGGAGGGAAAACGAGGGAAGGGAAATCAGGCATCAGGCTGACTGTGCCGCCTTTTTGGTTGACCCTTTTTTTCAGCCCTCAGTTTGCATGCCTCGCTCACATCATCCGCCCCCAGATCGACACCATCGAATCAATCACCTGCCACCTGCCAGGCACCCCCTCCCCCACAAGCAAAAAGACCTAGGCCTTGGATAGTTTCTGGGCCTGGGTAGGTTTGTTATTCTCCGAGATAAGCGGCCAAGCTGGCTAATTGGGAGGCGAGGTGGGCTGTGGTTCGGGAAAAATGCCGTTTCTGCCGCCGCCTATCGCCTATCAGTCGGGGCCTCTGTCGGGGGCCTGGCTGTGGCTTCTTGTTGCCTCTGGCTGTCACGGCTGTCTGCTCACCTGGACAGACTCGATATCTTGTGGTCCTTCAGCCGCCACGCGCCCTCTCTAAAAACGAGATGCTGCCACCCTCTGGGCTTACCCCTCCCAGCTACGATGCCTTCTTGGTTGGGGGCAGCGGCAGGCTACGGCACAAGCGGCGGCGGCCGCCTGGGTACATGCTGTCCCGCCGTGACATTCGTGCCCGCTCCGGCGTTGCCATCTGTGCCGTCGTGGTATCCCAAGCATTGGTATCCCAAGCACGCGTGTCTCTGATCCTCTCCCTTGATCCTCTCCCTTGTTTCTCTTGGTCGGCCCTCGGCTGTCATTGGTCGGAACAGCTTGGGCCCAAAATTGCCGTCATGACGACGACTTTCCAAGCGCCATCGTGGCATGTCTGATAGGCGAGTGATGCCGAGGTCGAGGAGACGGAGCCCACAAGGGCTTGGCCTGCTTGGCCTGCCGGCATGGCTGCTGGTTCCCATGCGAGACGGAGGCGCGAGGATGGAATCGCCATGCTTGGCCTCTCGGCAGCCTGTTCGTCCCCATGCAAGACATATTGCTCGCGCGTTGCGCCACCGTCGCATTCTTTCGCCCTTACTGCCTCTCGTGGACGCCCAGCGGCCCATGAAACCGCGGCCATATCCATCTTTCTAGGGGGTGGCCTCGCTCGCCTAAGCACGGGCGGAACGGTCGTCACTGAGGAGTCGACACGAAGGAGGCCAATTCCGCGCCGGCATTGGTCGAGAGCCTTGACCCGATATCGTCATTGCTTTTCTGCGTCGCCTCCTCTCGCCCTCGCTTCGAGGACGGCGCATCTCGATTCCATCCGTTCCCTTGACTGGTCCTCCCCCCCTCTCGCTGTCCCATAGCACTTTGTTTGCCATGATGCAGGTTCACAGCTGCGTGCCAGCCATCATGGAATCCCTCCCCCCTCCTTCGGGCCCTGGCCCCGCCGTTCCATACCAACAAGACGGGTAGGTAGGTACCCAGTTGGCGACCGAGGGGCGGAGAAATATCTTAGCGCGCGAGCTCACGCGAGCCCGTAGGTTAAACGGTGGTGTGCGAGTGGCCAGTGCTGCTACTGGCTGCGTATGCTCTTCACCCGCCTCGCTAAACTCGTCAAGGGCACTGGAATGCCTAGGCCCAGCCCGGCTGAAATGAAGACTCCATCCTTCACGTCCTCGTTGTGACGCTGCTCTCACATGCTCGCAGCTATCTACCCCCAGCTCCCCGCCAAGTTCCCCCGCGCTCGCCGGGAACTCGTCGCCCGCTTCCCCGGGGCGGCCCAGGCCTGCACCGGCTGGCGATGAAGGCACCCTCCCCCCCTGGCCAGGCGGGGCGGCCAAAGGAGGGATTGTCGCCCCTTTGGTTGTATGCTCTGCGAGAGATATTTGGTCGGGTCATATCTTTCGACCCTCGGTTATCCGTCGTGGTGGTTGGCGCCCTGCGGCGTAACGCGAAATATCCTTGAAACAAGCGAAATCTCAGCCGTCTTGGGGGTGGTGCCGCGTTGCCTCCTCGGCTGCTACAGCCGCGTGCGATCGGGGTCGGTTAGGGTCGGGGCTCGCCAAATCACATTGCGAGAGCACCATGGCGCGGGCTACGTCCATATCCCCTTGGCCCTATCCCCTTGGCCCCCTGCTTACCGGCGTGCGCAAACCCCTCCTCTCGCCTGGCAAAACTCGCATTTCCGCCAGCCATGCGGGCCCTCGCACCCCATCAAGGCCGCGGCGACTGTCGGCGGCTGCGGACTGCCTCACAGCAAACATGTCCGGGGGGCTGGCTGGGCCAGCTGCCAAGAGTGACAGCCTTGGAGGTTCAGTGAAGACGGATAGCAGCACCAAGCTTGCAGTGTGGCGACCATGTAGGCGTCCGCCGAGCGGTGCCTTTGGTGTCTTTGGAATATATTAAGCAACCAACGGTTCCAACCAAGTGTGCTGTCGGCCCCCGGCGCTTCATTTTTCCACCTCTCTCCTTCAAACCCCAATCGATACTCATGTCATCTTGGTGACGTGACTATGCACTAGGCAATCTATCTCCCAAGCCATGGCAAACCCAGATCGAGTTGACGCCGCTGGCCAAAGGTGGCCCCAGGGCCAAGATGGATTGGCCTGGAATCTCTCTCGCGACATGTTCGCTTGACGGAGGCGACGGGTTCCCTTCTCTTGCCCCTTTTGTGCCTCGACGTACAAGTGACTTGTCACATTTCCTCCCGGTATTGGGTGCCGAGCCTGGTGCAACCGTCGTGCTCCCACAATATACCACCCTCTTGATGCGCTCATACACACTCACACACGGCACCCTCGAAAGCCTCGCACAGCAGGCACAACGAATCATGTCGGCCTTTGCAAAATCAGAGCCTCTCCTCACCGCACGACAGAGGCAACATTGGCGGCAGCACGGCGCGGAAGACGCCGAGGCGAACAACGTGGGGCGCACATGATGAGTTTCACAGCCTCGTGTGGCCGCCGTGGTGCCAGTCACTAGTTACAGGAGGGGGGGATGGATGGATGGATGGATGGATTCCGACATTGCAACACAGGTACCCAAGACACGCGCGGCCGCTGCTGGTTGGCCGGTTAGATTTATTATGCTTGCAACACCCATCCAGTCAATGGAACCAGGCAATGGAGCGCCTTTGCGGCAACCTCGCCAGCAACTGGTACAGCCCTCTAGGGCCAATCTATTCTAGAGTGACCGCTCTGCAGGCATAAGCACCCGTTGTTGCCTGCCGGGGACCCGTCACCAAAGCTTTTCCCATCACGACTGATAAGGGAGTTGCGATTGGGGGGTTGATTGACGTCAGAGGGCGGCATGGCCTAGATCGCTACTGCGTTAGATATGGGCTCGTTATCGTGATGCGTGGCCTCCTTGTTTACGACATAGCATGTCTCTTCCCTTACACCCCTCTAATTCCATCCGGGAAGCTCGGAGCGGCTTGGTCCTTTTCCCCGCCCCGTAGAAATTCCGACACGCTTCGGAGGATTGATGCCCACGATGGATCTCTGGCAAGCGAGACCGGGGGAGTATTCTTACAAAAGGAGGTCTAACCAAGGTAGCTAGGTAGGCAGGCATGCATGTACCATCAAGGTGGCCCTCCGTCGAAAGGAACCCCGACTCCTCCTCCTCGTTGTCACCCGTTCCCACATCGGCGGCGCGAGATGCCGCCGCTCCACTCCCACCCTACACTAGGGTGTGTGTGTGTGTGTGTGTGTGTGTGTGTGTGTGTGTGTCCATAGGGGTTCGCGTTCGGGCTGTTTGCTACCCGCGGCGCGCGACGTGCCCGTTGGGGTAGGTAGCTAGGTACCTAGGTAGAGAGACAGATAAAAAAAAAAAAGAAAGCTCGGCCTGCATGGGGATCGGCCCAGCTCGAGGAAGCGAAAGGCGCCAAGGGGAATCCGAGGCCAAGAAGCTACCCCGCACCCGCGAGGTGGCATCCATCCAAGTAAAAAGGGGTTGGCGTTCCATTCCTCTCTGTCTCTGGTTTTTACCTCCCTCTCGGGAGCGCCCCCCGAAATAGGCCTAGTCTAGCCGCGAGCCATGATCCCATCGCACATGGTTTTTTTTTTTTTTTGGGCGGCCCTGTCCGGCCGAGGGTGGCAAGGAGGCGTGGTGTAATATGGAAGGGCAGCACCACGGCTTGGCCCAGATATTGGCAGATATCCGGGCGGGCAGAGATGCCGGATTGAGGTGACATTTGCCCGGGAGCCGGCATGGGAGATGGGGAGTGGGAAGTGTGCGTGTGTGGTGTGTGCATGCACATCTTTGCCCCCTTTTTCCTTGTATCTACGTACTACTACCACCAGCAACTTTGTACAGTAGTCTCGATCGCTCTCTCTCACCTCCCATTCCCCGTATCTCTCCACGGCGGATCTGCTTGTTATCTTGGGGAATCCCTCCCTCGTTCCCGTCCTCCCGACAGGCGAGCCAAGGCTTGGAGAGGGTGGAGGGACAGGTTGCCATTGCGTCTTCAGCCAGAATAGGCATAACCTGGCGGCCACTCGCCTACCTGGACCCCCCTTGCCTGCCCCCTTGACGTCTCCACTGAAGTATTCCGGAGATACCACCTAACGGCTACCTACACCGGAGAACTACCTAACTGAAGTGGAGATCCTCGATGCAATCGAAAAGAAAAAAAAAGGAAGGCGGAAAGCCGCTGCCGGCCATCCAACCCCTCCCACCGCTGACTTCTACCTGGTACCTCGAACTACCACCCGAGATGCAAAACTCCCAGGGATGATGAACCGACCGGACAAGGAAGAGCTGCTGCTGCCCCAAGAAAACCGCACCACCACCGCCGCCACCACCCTCCTCGCAATATGCACTTCATATCCGCCCAGCTCACCGACGTCTGATCCGTGTCGGAGCCGAGACGCGGGGCCCATCTGCTTGGCTGCAGGAGAGCATTCTTGGGAGGAAACTGCTTGTGTTTTTTTTTTTTGTTTTTTTTCATATGCCATCCCTTGCCTTCTCGCTTCACTCACTGGCACCTCAATATATTGATTTTCCTCCTTCCTCAACTACACACACACACACACACACATACATGCACACGCCCCTGTCTGCCAACGGCTCAACCGCCAACCCGCGGGCACCCGAGAAAGTGCGTTTGCTGCCTTGGACGAGGGCCGGTAAGGAAAGAGAGGGGGGCTTCGGCCGGTTAGACCATCGCTTGACGGGTCGATCGATCGAAACGTCCGGCAGAGGCCCACGCAATCTGCTCCTCTTCGTTGTCCTTCAGATGGTTCCCCCCAGCTATTCTCGAAGCGCTCTCATGCTGTCCATGGTTCACCATTTCCCTTTCCTTTGTCGTTTCCCGACCTCCCAACACTTTCGTGTCCAGCTTGCGAGAACTTGGTGGCGTCGTCACGTCGCGTGAACCTCTTCTCGCAGCGCCTTCAATACCCTCCAAGCCGCCAAGCTCGATCCCCGGTGGTTGAGCGCGCTATGCTCGGATGTGAGGCGTGGAATTTCTAACTCCATGCTTCCGACAACCCCCTCCACCTCTCTCACACTTTCACTCTCCATTCCCTCGTTGCTACTTTGTGACTTGCAGCGGTGCGGGGAGGGGAAGGATTCTAGCCCACGCCTCCCTAACCGACCATGCCTAGGCGAGCGGGGAAGCGAGGTCGAGTGGCTGGCTGAGCCGAACGCATGTCCTTGAATTGCTTTTTGGCAGCAGCAGCCCCCAGCCAGCTCCAATCTTCTCTTCCGGAAAAGTCAAGATACACAATACCATCTGGGGGCAGTGGCGAAATCGAGAGCTTGCCACGCGGGAGAGGGGGGGGCGCTCCTCGTCGGCGTCGACTACGGTCACCCTCCTAGGCCCCTCGGGAGTTTTGCACGACCCTCTTCCGTCGCCTGCCTGTCGGTCCGCCGGAAACCCGCCCCGGGGAAAAAAACAAAAAAAGGATTTGGCCACTCGCTCCTGCCGGCTCGCTCTTGTTCCGGGCCGCTCACGCAGCACACTAGAGGATACCCCCAAAGGAGGGCGGGACGGGCCTCTCGCTTGGGCTTTGGTACGGATGGCTCGGGGGTTATCAAGAAGAAAGGGAGGGCAAGGGGTGCCGGACCGAAAACCTCGCAGCCTTTTGCGCTTTCTTTCCGCATATCTAGCGGGTGAAGTGGCGCCACTTCCGCACGAGGTACGGGATGCTTGTCAGGTAAGACCATGTGGGAGGACGTGGTATACTTGGAGCTAGGTAGGGCGGCAGATAGCTGAAGCGTTTGCGTTTGCGCACCAGATAGCAGAAGGTTACTGCCATGGATCTTATCCTTCCGTTTCTGTGGGTGTAATGTGCACGTTTGAGCAGACTTGTAAGGTTGTAGAATCACTATCAGAGTGGGACATACCTACTACCAACCAAAACCTAGGCATACTAGGGAGATATCCTGCGACTCCGGTGGTTCCCGTAAAGGCTTCAAACTACGTCCGACATCGTATGCGTGCAAGAACATAGTCTGGCCGAGACAAGGACTGGGTATGGTGTCCACAGACAGAGGGAAATAGGACACACGGCGGGCTTTTGCAAATCGGACATGCCAATGTTTTAATTGCCCAGACTCAAAAGACAACACCCGCTAAATACCGCACGATATCTCGATGCCGATGAAAGCCAAAGGTAGAAGCCAAAAACAAGGGGTTGGGTAGTTATTATTACATTCAGACAGTCAGGTATCACGCAAAGAAGAGAAGGGGAAATGACTAAGGGGGAATGGGAACAGGTGCTGACGTGCGAGATGGGGTGCGCAGAAAATGAACAGGAATGAAAAAGACACCTATGTGACAAAACCATGGATGAAGGAAGGACGACAGCGCGTCTCCAGTGACCCAAAACCCCCAGTTATCCCTCGTATATGCTCAACCGCAAAGAAGGACAAAAAAAGGAAGAAAAAGTACAGTTATAGTAGTATAACGACAGGGGTGAAGAGGCGATCAAATCGCCAATTTTGGTTTCTGAGGCAATGTCATCCTCGAACGGACGCACATGTCCTTCATCCTTGATGTGCGATTAGCAGGAACAAGGAAAAGGCAAGTCCGATGAACGACAACAAGGGGAAAAGGGGGTGGGATGACAGTGGGGGTCCAAGACAAGGAACGAAAAAGAAGGTCCCTCATCCATGAAGCTATAGTTGCCCCAGCCGATGGAAGAATCAAACTCCCAGCGGCGCCATCCGAGGCGCTTCATAGGTGCAGTCTTCATCCATGGCATATCCCGAGGTGTTGTCAGAGTCATAGAATGAGCAAGGTGCAGACTGAGGTGGGTAGGACTCTCCAGGCTAAAAGATGGGTGAGGCAAGAGCCCATCTTAGGCCTCGACGCCCTCCATCTTGGCGATCCACTTGTTCATCTGCGAGTACTTCTCCTCAAATGTCTTCTCGAGCTTCTCGCAGGCGGCCCACATAGGGTCCTTCTTGGTCCAGTACGTGTAGCAGTTTGTGAAGATCTGGTGCATGTCGTTGAGGAACTCGACCTCGGTCTTGTACTCGCGCGAGTCCATCTTGGCCTTCATGGTGCCCAGGTCCATGGGCTGCTTGATGCGCGACAGGTAGTCGGGCACCTCGTCCCGGACCGGGTCCACCTGCTCCTTAAAGGGACCGACCAGACGGGTCCAGAAGCCTGGAGAAGCAAGAAGCAAGATCAGCAAACGGAACGGGGAGCGGGAGCCATGGTGCTATGAGTTACTCACCTGGGCCGGACAACATGCGGGTCAAGAGGTCGGCGCAGAAATCGAGCTTCTGATCCGTCGAGAAGTTTTGGTTCACGTTCAACGCCGACATGCGGCGCTTCGGTCCCGGTGCCGCTCGGGTGTTAGCCGGCAGCGAGGCGCGGGGCCTCTTGGCGGCGGGGCCAGGCCGGGACGACCCGGCGGCGTTCCCGTTAGGCAGCACGTCCGAATAGCGATGGCGCTTGGTCGGGCGCGCGGGGATCTCCTCAACGTCACCAGCGTCTTCGGCGTAGTGCACGTTCTTACGGTGTTGATAGCGGTTATTATTGATATCGTTGTTGCCGCTGCCGCTGCCGTTGTTGGGAGTGGTGATGTTGTCGGGGACCGGCGGGGCCCTGTCGGGCTCGGCGGGCAGGGCCTGCGGGGCGGCGAGGGGGCGGTGGTTAACAGGCGCCGACGGGACGTCCATGGAGCTCATAGCAACGACGAGCTCGCTCAGAACCTCTTGGGGCAAGGAGCGGGCGAACTCGGCGCGCGAGTCTGACGAGCGCATGTACTCGGCGGCCCACTCAAGCAGCAGCTTGCGGATGGAGGAGCCCTCCGGGGTGTCCTTCCAGACCTGGACGAGTAGGGGCGTGGCGGGTATGTGTTGCGTGACGCGACGGCACTGGTTCATTGCGTCGAGCGTGGCGTCGCAGAGACCGTCGATACCCAGCTCGTGGCCCAGCTTCCAGGCGCCGATCAGAATGTCGTAAGAGGGCAGGTCCTCGATGGTGGGGAAGACCTTGCCCGTGTAGATGAAGTTTTGCGCGCACGCAAAGACCTCGACGGGTGTCTTTGGCAGATGAACCACATGTTCAATCTGCTGTTCCTGTTCCTGGTTCCGCTCAAAGTGACTCCGGAAATAGGTCGACTTGGAGCAAAGGAAGTCCTTTTGGATGCCAAATGGCTGTTCACCCGGACCAACCAAGATGATAACGAAGATAGGGTGAGGGTCTCTGAGCAATCACAGCGTGAGTGGGTGAGAAGTGATAAGCCTGAGGGGAGGGTCGCATCTTACAGCCATGTGAACTTGTATGGAGCAGCGGGAGCGGCACTAGCACCTCCGGCACTAGGCGACTCGAGGTCGACGACATGGCCGTTGTCGGCGTGGCCGTTTGTGCGGTGATTTGCCGCCATCTCGTCTTCACCGGGCGGTTCGTTAGCCATATTTCAACGTGATTGATGGCGCTGGCTAAGGCATGGCCATATCATCGGGTCGATATGCAGGATGAAAAAGCAGGTCAAGAGAGAAGTCGACTGATGACGATTCAGAGTGAAGACGGTGTTGTTCTGGGGCTTCTTGCAAGGAGAGTGTCGGTTGAGGAAGGGAAGAATATGTGGCAAGAAATGAAAGGCGACTGAAGTCGGACATAAGATGGGATGGTGAAAAAAAGAAAAAAATCAGCAGAGGGGACTAGCAAGGTGAGTCAAGGTGAGGTGGTGGGTGACAAGGCTGGCTAGGAAGGTGAGGAAGAGATGAGGTAGTGGTGAACTACGCACGTAAGACAAAACACAAGGCATGGGGAAAGCATAGCAAAGGTTTCGGCACGTGCAAGACGGCATGAGGGAAACGGAAACAAGAAAAAGAGAGACCAACCAGATCTGTCGTCTTTCTCGAGGCTTCACGCCGCCGGGCGCATGAGACGCAGGCCCTGGCCAATCCCAGGAGGACGTCCAGAAGGATTCTGGGCCTCGTCTCACTCGACAGTGGTGGCCGTAGAATGCACGAGGTGAGAATTGACCCGCCGAGTCAAAGCAGTGAACGGTTTCCAAGCCGGTTCTATGTGAGCCAAGACTGGAGGGCCTCGGCGGTACTCTCACAATGGATTGGCTGCGTCAATTACCGTAGCTAGTCAAAAGGGACAGCTTGAGGAAGGAGGTTGGTTGAGCGAATCGTAGACTCGGAATGAGCAGGCTGGTGTGCCAAAAAGTCCTGTCGTGATCGCGGCCTTGAGGCTGAGAAAGCTCCAGTCGCGCGAAAAGGGCCTGGGCGGGACGCCCCAGTGTTTTTTCCCATGCTTGCCGCCGCCGCGAACGCGAAGTGGCAGGAAAACGCACCAGCCACAGCCTGCGCACCACCTAGGCCAGGTTCTTCAGTATAGCAGCAAAGCCACAGACCCCCACAATCGGATCATTGGAGACGCGGCGAGTGGAGTCTGGGGCATCAGGCCTGTGCCTTTGCGCGACGCAACATGCGTCGACGCCCGCATGATGGGTTTCGCAGGTGCTCGACTTCATGACTTGTAGTGGGCGCCCGGTTGCTGCGTGGGCCATCTTCCCGACAGCCAAGGTAGGTAGGTGCATGGCCGTTGACGCGCGCGGGAGGGGGTGCTCTGCCGGATATCCCAATTGGACAGACAGCGAGCAGAGCCTTGGGAGGCTGCCTAGCCCAGTCAGCTAGCGGCTGACGCTGCGGGCGCGGGGTTGGCGAATGCCATGTGTGCTGTGTGGCCGATCCTGGGCGGCCTCCGGCGTCGCAGGCCGTTGAGATGGGAGCAGGCGCGTGTATCTACATATTGGCTCGGGAAGAGAGGTAGCTGGTCGGGTGATCTAGGTGGCTGCCGATCTAGTCCTTGGGTTGGTATATATCGAGATATCCCCATCTAGACTACACCACCTGCGTCGGTTGACCGCGACCTGGGATCACGTCGTTAGCCGCCGGTCCTGCAACTCCCTTAGCTCCCCTCTCCTGGTCACTGGACCAACAGCTAGCCGTAAGCTCGCTTGAACGAAAAAAAAGAAAACCCCCCGCACACAAAAAGGGCAGGCCATCACCTCTCTCCGCCATTTGCAACCCGCCCCAGATGGGCGCCAACGAGTCCAGGGAAGCAGCGCGATCCACCTACGGCGGCGAGTGGAGACCCCTGGCAATCAACGCCAGCACCTTCGACAGCGAGTTCCTCCTCCCCAGCGGCGAGCACGAGGACGGCCGCGGCGCAACAATGGGCCAGTCGGAGCCGCCATCCCGCCCCGGCGAGGGTACCGCCGCCGCCGCGCATCATTCTCCGCAGACGCAGCAGATGCTCTCCCTCCTCGCGCGGCAGCACGAGCGCCTGATCCTCGAGCTCTTCACCTTCAAGGACGGCGCGCAGTTCCGGGCCTGGCTACGCAGCCCGCAGGTCCGGGGCTCGTGGCTCGAGTTCCGGCGCGACTCGGCCGCCGTCGCCGCCCGGTCATCCGTCCCCCTCCCCCACCACCCGGCCGGCAGTGGCGGCAGCGGCGGCGGCGGTGGCGGCGGCAACGAGGAAATGGACAAGGCCAAGGCGGCGCAGCAGGCCAAGGACGCGGTCCAGAAGAAGTCGCCGCGCTACCTGCTGCACTACCCGGACAAGCGCGACTGGACGGCCGACGACCACACGGTGCGCTTCATCGCCGTCGTCATCTACGACAACCTCCTCACCGGCATGTGGTCGAGCGGCGACTGGAGCTGCAGGGCGCTCGACATTGCAAAGTCGGTCTACGAGGTGCTGGTGTTCCTGAGGTCGACGGACCCGATGACTGTGGACGAGGCGAGCCCGCCGGATTACACTGCCTAGGGGGGGTGAGGTTGGGTTTCGCTGGGATTGCGTTTGTTATCTAGCATGGGTTTTGGTTCGTTTTTTTGTTTGTTTGTTTTGTTCTGTAATTCAACAGCATGGCGATGGCTTCATATTTATTCAATCAACCACTCATCAATCACGACGTCGCGCGGCTTGCAGTGGGCGTTGGCGCCAAGGCGTCCTCTCAAATCTAGAAGCTGGGGCACGCTGGGGCGGCCAAGCGTGCCCAAGCCTCGCCGATCGCGCTTGCGTTGTAGAGCTTGGCTCGTTTGGGCGAGCTTCTTTCGACCAGCCCAGATCTAGAACTGTGGCGACAAAGGGAGAAATTGTTCATTCGCGGCACCAGATGCAAAATCACCGACACCCCAAACCCCTCGGAGCCAACATGAAGCTTTCAGCATTATGCAGCCAGTTATCATCCACACCAAGACAGAGAGGCTTCCGTCGCCGACGTCGTGTCATGGGCTTGGGTGGGAAATTGAACGTTTCGAGAAGCAAGCCAAGGGAGCAAAGAGCAGAGGCTGTTTGGTTCAATTTGAATTTTATTTGATTTGGTACTTTAACAAAAAAAAACGCTAGGGGAAGACTAGGAACGAGGTATCATGTAAGGCATGGGGATCGAGAACCGCGTCCCCTCCCACAACAAAATCAGCAAGCGCCCAGGTAACCCGAATCGCTTCCCCCCAATCCAAAGTATCCGGCCACCTAGGTTGTATGGCATTAGGTTTAAAGTAGTGTATGATGAGTGCGCTTGCCTGCTCTCATCATCCGTTCAAGCCCAACCATCATCGCTGCTCGCGGAGCGGCGGAACACTGGATGGGAGCTAACGAGACGAGACAGAGGAAACTGGACGGGAAAAGAGCACGATCCAAGCTTAGACCTCCTCGACCTTGCTGGTTTCCACACCGGCCTTCTCGCTCTTGGTGTGGCCCATCTCGGCAGCGAAGGTGGTGGTGGGGACCCAGCTCTTGGACTTGCGGGCCGTAGTCTCCTCCAGCATGCGGTCGACCTGCTCCAGGGACAGGCCCTTCATCTCGGGGACGAGGAAGTAGGCAAAGGTGAGGGAAACGCAGCACAGGGTGCCCCAGATGAAGAACACCTTGGGGCCCAGGTTGGCCGAGCCCTGGCTGTTGCCAACCATGTAGGGGGTGATGAGGCCGATGATGCAGTTCCAGAACCAGTTGGAGGCGGTCGAGATGCCGACACCGCGCGAGCGGATGGTGAGCGGGAAGCACTCGCCGACAATGACCCAGGCGGTGGGGCCCCAGGTGATGGCGAAGAACATGATGTTGATGCAGATGAAAGCGATCATGGCCTGGACGGCGCTGTCGTTGCGAGCCTCGATGCGGCCCGCGGTGACTCCGAGGATACCGACGATAAACTGGGAAATGATCATGCCGATGGCGCCGTAGATAAGCAGGAAGCGACGGCCAAACTTCTCAATGGACCAGAACGAGATCGGGGTGGAGCAGACGTTGACGAGGGTGGTGACGAGCGACATCAGGAAGGGTTCCTTAATGGTGCCGAGTTGCTGGAAGAAGGGGGTTCCGAAGTAGAAGATGAAGTTGATACCCGTGAGCTGCTGCATCATCTGCATGCCACTGCCCAGGAGCGTGCGGCGCAGGTTGGAGTTGCCCTTGGTGATGCTGCCCTTGAAGCACGCGAGCCACGAGCCAACGTAGCTGGTCTGCGGGACGTGGGCGGTCTCGTACTCGTGGTTGGCGACAATCTCGGCAAGCTCATCGCGGATGTAGTCCGAGTCGACAGGCTGGCCACGGATACGAGCGAGGGCCGCGGCGGCGTCCTCGACCTTACCCTTCTTGACAAAGTAACGAGGCGACTCGGGCAGGAGGAAGAGACCAACACCCAGGATGATAGCCCAGAGGAACTGGATGCCCACGGGGATGCGGTAAGAGCCAGTGTCGCTGCGGTCCTTGGTGGCGTAGACGACGCAGTTGGCGAGCAGGATACCGATAGTGATGCAGAACTGGTAGCCCGAAACCATGGCACCACGGACCTTCTTAGGCGCGATCTCGGACATGTAGAGGATGATGATGGCCGAGATAAAGCCGACACCAAGACCAGCAATCAGACGACCAAGGACGAACAAGGCCTCCTGGCCGGCGCTGGCGATCTGGAGAATACAGCCGACGGAGAAGACAAGGCAACCCATAATGATGGTGGGACGACGACCAATGAAGTCGGCAATATCACCAGCCTATCGTGATTGTCTCACCGGTTAGCGCCTGTTTCGGACAGCGAGACATGGCTGCCTCATGCCGGGGCGAGAATCGAGGTGCGACTTACAATAAGAGCACCGAAGAAAGTACCAGCGGACAGGATCGAGGTCATGAGAGACTTCATGGCGTCAGGGATAACAAATTCATCCGTGGAGACACCGATGGGCTGCAACTTGGCGTAGTCGTACTCGTGGCCGGTGTATTGGCTGATGAAGTAGGGCATGCCGAGCACGCCACCCATCCAGCCCTAGATTCCAGGTACATGACCATGTTAGACACTCCCGTTGATGGTTCCAGCAATGGAGAGGGAAAAGGATGGACTAACGGTATCATAGCCGAAGAAGATACCACCAAAGGCGGCAAAAGCGCAGATGAGGTACGCCTTGACAGTGATGGGCGCCTCGATCCTCCCGACGTCGGTCGTGCCCTGAACGGGCTCAACACCGCCGCCAGCCATCTTGGGTCGTTTGATGCTTGAGCTCTGGGGATGAGGTCTCGGCTGCGAAACACTGCTCAGTATGTCGGACCGGTTACAGAGTCGTGGGTGGGAGCACACAAGGAGGAAGGGGGCCAAGAGGTGAGCAGGAGGAGGAGGGAGTGTGGAATATATAGGTGTATAAGTCGGCGGGGGCAAAGCAATATGGACGCGGCAAGCTATAGGGTCATGACAGCGGGCGACAGGTCCGAAGGGAGGGGTGTGCAAGATTGGGCTCACGCCCCGGCCGTCACCACGCGGAGGCAGAGTGAACTTTTTCCTTTCTACCATTTTTCTCTGGTAAGCAAATAAAACAAAGCGATGGAGCCGATGACCCTCCACCCCTGGCAAATTAAACCGCAAGGAGGAACGTGTGAGGCCAACCAGCAGCACAACACGACAAAACACGACACAATGGAGACGGGGAAGGGCCGAAAGGGGTACATGGGGAGGTACAGAACCAGGGGTGTGGGCCGCAGCCGGGCCCAGGTCTCCGCGTCTGTTGTCTAGACGCAGGGCGCCAGAAAACCGTTTTCGGAGCTCGTGCTCCTCTGCTCGGCCCATGGCCCAGCTACGAGACGCAGGAAGGGGACGACAAGGTTACCCACCAGATGTTACCCGCGCTTCTATATCCCCACAGTTCCACACCACCCACGCTCTGCTGTGGGCTTTTGGGGGAGCAGGGGATGGTACCTAGGTATGCTTTGCAGGCGGGCTACCAACTCCAACGGGGCCCCGTGTTCAGCATGCGGATCGAGTTTGTGCTTAAATCGCCGAAGGGACGCCGGCCGGGTCCTGGGCGCGTCGGCGTGCAGCGGCCTGGCTGGCTGGCTGGCTGGCGTTAGTACTTGCAGGCCGCCCGGGGTCAGATCTGCTTATCCTGTCCAGTGACAGACGAGGAGATACCTCCTATTCCGGTCTAGGGCAGTTCCCAAGTACGTTGTGGAATCTTGAGAGTCGCACAAAAAGCCACTCAGCAGAGTTAGGAGAAGGTGGAAGAAGAACGAAAAAGACAGAAGTGGGTAAGGGGGTGGGAATGGGGGGCCAGAATAGAATGAGCAAAAGAAAACGGGGTAGACAGAGAGAAAAAAAAACCCTTGTCCATCATCCCTTTCGCTTCTTCCACGGGTACGAGGAGCCTGGCAAACTTTTTGGAGCTCGACCAGGTATGCGTGCCAGTCAAAAAATTGGAGATGGGCCCGATGGGGACACCATGACCCGTGGATCACAAACCATGTGGGACGGGTCGTGATGGCTGGCCGCTGCATCGGACGGACGCTTGTTTCCTCTCGGTCTGTGCCTGGTGTTTTGGCCCAAGGGCACCAACTTTAGGGCTTTGTTGACGCCCTGTCTGCTGTCAATGGAAATCGAAAGCAGCAGGCATACACGCACTGATCATCATATCGACATGCCACGCGGTTCTCGCCCGAGTGGGCGTAGTCTACCCGTCACCCTAGACGGTCGACGGCTGGCGTCGGGGCGTTAGTCACGTCACTGGAGACTGGCTAAGGTGGCCAAGACTTCGTCTGGTGCTCGGCAGTCGAGCTGAGTTTGGTGCTGATGGCGTGGCCAAAGCCTCCGACTCATTCATGACAGCAAACACACCGCCAACACCTCATGATGGAGCCAAGGTGAGCGGAGAGACACCGACTTGGGCTTTTTTTTTTCTTTCTTTCTTTCCTTGTTCTTTTCGCCCATCGCGCGTACCGGCGGCCACCGTCACAACGTACCATTGTGCGGGTAGGCACGTCGCAGAGGGCCACCGTCGTCCTCTTGTTTCTCCGCTTCCTTTCTTCGGCCAGGGTCTATGAGCAATCCAGACGATGCCCAGCGTCTACCGAGGCCCAGAGAAGGATGCGGCGATTGGGTCTGGCAACCCTGCACCAGCGCAATAAACGGGCCGTTTCCAGCAGACGTTGTTTGAGCTCGATGCGGAGTTTGTGTGGGTGGAGTGTGGAGCGTCTGGGGCCCCCTGCCCGGCCACCATCTCCATTCCCCCACAAGTTGGAGATGTGGTGGTGAAGGCAGGGTCGACAAAGAAAGAGCAGTTCATGGAAGATTTTCAGGTACAAAAAACTTGCAAGGCTTATGCCTAGCGCAAGGAGCAAAAAAAAAAGAAGAAAAAAAAAGACGGGATGGTGTGCGCTTCGCCAGAGCCATGGACGAGGGAAAGAGCAATGGTTCGCGCCCAGAGAGCTGGCAGGCGCGACGTGGAATGAAGATTGAATTTTGCAGAGGCACGAGGGACCCTACCCCACCGCCGTTGCCTGGGCCCCATCTGGCCAATGTCCCTTGATTCCATGGGTTGGGTCCTCGTTCGGCTCCATCCTGTGCGCTAGCGTCGCATCGGGTCTGGTTGGCCGACTCCCATGCGCCGCGCGCCGACACCCAGGACCAGTCAATGCATGCGAACCGCCCGCTGCCAATTCCCGTGGACGAGGTCGGCAACCTACAATATTCACTGCCAAGAAGCGGTCAGCTGTCCTATTCGCTCTGCCCGTCAGCGACTCGAAAGCTCCCACCAGCTGTGCTCTTGCACTTTGTTCTAGTTCCTGAACATGCAAGACGACCAAAGTCTAGACTCATGGGAGGGACATGCGCCGCAACCCAATCCTTTGATGTTTCTCTCCTGATACAGGTGTCACGCGCCAGTCCCTGCACTGCGCCCAGCCCGTCCCACCACAGGTATCATTTTGGCAAGGTTGCGCCCAACGGCCACGGCGGCGGCAAGGAGATGCAACTGTTGGTTGTCTTTGCTTGCATATTGCTCGCCACGGCCCCCCAGGCTCCATGTACCTTGGCTCGATAAACACAAGATGCGCGTGTTAGACAGCCGCGACGAACAATGATTAGCCTGTATGTGCGCCGGGCATACCATATTCCAAACGCGGACGTAAAGAAGCGACCCAATCGTGCACAGCTGGGCCGCCACATGCAGCAAGTTTCCTGCACGTACGGACCAGACCGACCGATTTAAGGCCGAGCCAGCCATCAGCCGGGCCGCCCAGTCACCGAGGGGGGAGGCATTGAACGGCCAGTGTCTTCTTATGTGCTATGCTATGCAGATTCACTAGACGTTGAGATTCTGGGGTGTTTGTCCGTTTATCTGCTGCCGTCTTAAGCGACGCTCTTGCTCTTCTCAGTCCTCGAGCTGCGTCCTCTACCCCCGCAAGATGTACCCCAAAGACCACGCCAATGCCGCCAACTATTCGTGGCCTGTACGGGGCGGCCATAACCACTCGGCAATTCTGCCCGAACAGCTTCTGTGGAGAACCACGGCCCACGCATCTTGTGCTTTTGTTGCTAACATGGTCCCTACCTGCCGCCCCTTGCGCACTGCGACATCCGCCTTGTCTCGTTGGCGAGCTGTACGCCCGATATGGACTCGACGCCGTCGCAGGATTTCGTGAGCCTCCAGTCGAGGGTGTCAAGTGACGATACTCCCCAACCCACAGTTGGGGGTTTCAAACGAGATGCCGCTGGTTTCCGTGACCCCGGCCAGCTCGCCGCCGCCACCACCTGGCTGAGACCTCTTCCGAGAGGCCAGCCGCTTTGGCCTGCCACTGCCGCGGTCAAGCAGGAGCTAACATCGCCTGCCAGGACGCGTACAGCGTATGGCCCAGCTCGGTGGGACGAAGTCGCGCGTGATGTGTAGGGGGCCCCCCTTCGCCTCTCCACAGTTCGAGACTTGCCGAGTTTGCCTTGGCTGTTGCTTCAGCCTCGACGGCGCCATTGCCGCAGGGGGGCACAGGTGTGGGGAGGGCCAACCAGATCTGGCTGTCAGGCCGCGCTCGGGCCGATAACAAGCAATGAAAGAAAACCACAAATGGGGGAATGGCAGCAGGGCCCCTAACCCCATTCCTTCCAGCAACGGACAACGCCGTCCCCATCTCGCTTCCCGATGTCTTCCACATGGCATTGCACAGGCCGGCAGATCTTCGGATGCCAGCGCGTGGACGGTGTCCCTCGCACGCGCTTTAGTGCCTTCCATGGACAATGCTCTCAAATTTAGTCCGGGTTCTCATTCGATAAACAGTAACAATGGCATTCAGGGCACCACAAACCGATTGGAAATGTTCTCTGAGAATGATCTTGGTCAATAACGCTTGATCGGACTCTCAACCGTCAACGCGGGCGTTCTTAAACAACCAAACAGGCAAGCGGCAGAGGAGCCTCATGCGATAATGTGTAAACGCTGACCAGGACGCTCGACCGCGCAAGGCTTTGTCAATCTCAAGTCAGCCAACTGCTGGATCCAAGTGGACACAGAGCCAGCATGGTTGTAATTATAAACTGCCCCATATTATAACCCTGGGTCCATCACCTGATGGTCGTGCAATCTGCGGTTCGCCGGGGACATCCCCCGGGGAAATGCGAGAGCGGGGGTTTCCCCAACTCGGTTCCCAGCCAGATGGACAGACACTGACCAATGGGCACCTCCAGCTTTGATCGGAAAGCTGCCGGATCATACCCGAACCCTGCTCAATCTCGCTCCAAGGTAGGCCCCGGATAAACTAGGCGCCGCCCGTCTAGTCCTATGCCCTATGCTCCGTGACACGCTACTTCTGCGAGGCCGAAGGTTCTGTGCTTCCGGGAAACCGGGCTCTCTCCGCCCGGGTCGCTGGACCGCCGAAGCCGAAACGGTTGATGGGGCACAAGCACGGGCATAGCCGGGCCGGAAAGTGCATCTCCATGAACACCCGTATGAAATGGCTGTGGTGTGAGTTGATAGGGTTGACAAAGTATCACTCCCTCGAGCCTTATGATTCTGTTCTTGTCCCTACTGCTCCGGTGCTAGCGCTACTGGGCCTTGATCATTTCACTTGAATAAAGGGGCAGGGATATAAAGCCTTGGTGGCTTTTTTTCTTTCCTCAGGCATGCAGAAGCCCCACTTGTTATCGGCAGTTTCGTTATCGGAAGTTTCGTTATCGCGCTGCCATGGGCATCGCCTTGGAAAATGAAGTAGACTTGGAAGGTGCTGAGAGCCCGTTGGAGAGATCCAAGTCTCAGTCGGGACTGCGTGTTGGTGTAGCGAACGAGAGGAACCTGCCTGACAGCTCGATGTCTCTGCCTGGCAGGCATAGCATCGAGAAGGCTCGCGGATATCTCTCCTGATTGCTTTCTCTAGCCGACGACGGACAACCCCCCTTTTTCCCACGGCCCGCCACAGGTATCAACAAGTCGACGCGCTGTCCGGGCGTCGCCGCGTCTGCTCAATCGAATCGAACCGATCGCTTAGCTCCCAACCGTCTGTACATGTCAAGATGCTGTCCAGTCCGACCACACCGTCACCAAACACCCGGCAGGGTGTCGCGGCAATGGTGCCGCGCATGACCAAGCGCAGGGTCTTCATCAGTGTCCAGCTGGTCCTGGTCTTCGCACTGGCTGTCTATCTGACATTTGGTTCCCATGGCCTGGCAGCTGTGACAAAGCTCCCAGCCGGCCTTAGTACGTACCCGAGTCCAGCTTACCTGCCCGTCCATTTTAGCTTCAGCCGTCCCAACTTCACTGTCTCGGGAATGACATCAGCTAAACTCTTGCCGTGTGCCTCTGCATTTGCAGATCCCTGGAAGTCTGGGTCCAATGCCCAGGACCCTGAGCCGACGTCGCCGCCCAGTACCGCCACCGCCGCCCCCGCCGAGCCCGAGATCATACTCACGCCCGAGGAGAAGAAAGCGCAGGAAGAGAAGCAGGCCCAGGACGACAGGCATAGGGGAAAGACGGCCGAGGAAATAGAGAAGGAATTCGACGAAAATGAGGCACGGAAGAAGCTTTCGGCCAGCCAGAAGAAGCTTGCTACGGAGCGCGTCGAGGCATACATCCCCGCCATCATGAACGCCGATGACACCTCGGTCGAGCGCATGTGGTGCCCCAAGTTCAACGAGACCCGATACCAGCACCTGAAGGCGTCCAAATGGAACCCCGGCAAGAAGTACTTCTTCGCCCTGAACCTGAGACAGTGCCATTACGTCCTGCCGCGCTTGCTGGGCTCTATAGTTGAGGTGATGCGCTTCGTCGGGCCTGAGAACTGCGTGCTGTCCATCGTCGAGGGCCGCTCCGACGATGGCACCGCCGAGATCCTGATGGCCCTCCGCCCCGAGCTCGAGGCCCTCGGTGCCACCTACTACTACCTCAATAGCGACATCAACCCAAGCGAAGCCGACCGTATCGAGCGCCTGGCCCAGCTGCGGAACATGGCCCTCCAACCCATGATCAATAGCCGCCGCAAGAACCGCCCCAAGCCCGCCGACGACGCCCCCGCCACCAAGGAGACCGCCCCTGCTGCCCCCGCCAGGTTTATGCCCCGGTCGGAGCCTCCTGAGCAATGGGGCGCGAACATCGAGTTCGCCAACGACGCGGTTGTGGCCTTTATCAACGACGTGGCAATATGCGCCGAGGATATCCTGGAGCTTCTACACCAGCGCGTGATTCAGGAGGCCGACATGACGTGCGCCATGGACTGGTCGCACATCCAGGACGTACCGACGTTCTACGACGAGTGGGTCGCGCGCCAGATCAACGGCGACTCCTTCTTCGACATACCCGACGACAAGTCAGGCTCCTTCGCGCGAGCGCGGTACCTGTTCCCGGACGACTTGGTCAGCAGGGAACGTTTCGAGGCCGGGCGGGCCGTGCACGTGTTTGCGTGCTGGAACGGCGCAGTCACGTTCCGGGCCGAGCCCGTCATGTCGGAGAAGGTCAAGTTCCGCGACGGCCGCGAGGGCGAGTGCCGCGTGGGCGAGCCCACGTACTTTTGCAAGGACCTGTGGTGGCACGGCTACGGCAAGATTGCCATCGTGCCCACGGTGAATCTCGAGTATAACGATACCTACGGCGCCGCCATCAAGAAGAGAAAGGGGTACGTCAGCGATTGGGTCAAGAGGGAGCATCGCGAAAAGCTGCCCCTCCAGATCACGTGGCAACGCCCGCCCGAGAAGGTGCTCTGCATGCCGGGATGGACGGAGCAGTACTGGGTGCCGTGGAACGAGACGCTCGCTTGACAGTGTTGAAGCAAGACAGCATCGGATTTGTTTGCATGTGGGCGGGGCGTTTTGTCTTTTTCTTCTTCCCATTTGATGATCCTTTCCTTTGCAAGCCGTCATTATAATCATGATACCAGATCCTCCTTCGCCTGTACATGTTTCTGTTTTCTTCACGCGGCGTCTTCCCTGCGTGGCGATGGAGCCAAGACGTGACATTATAGATATCCATGCTTACCCCTGGCTGTTGCTGCCTTTATTTTTTTTCGGGCGGTGGCTGCTTAGAGGTGGGTTTGTTACTGTCATTCCTTGGTTCCGGTTCCGTGTATTTGATGTGTGCATATCTATCCTGTATTCGCAAGAGTGTCAATGGGGAGTTTGACCTCTTGCAGAAGTCGCGACGATAAAGGCCGCGGGTTCACTTCAACAGAAACACGTCCCGTTGTGCTGTCTTTTGTTCTCGTCTTGCTGCCGTGCCTTTCTCGCACTACTGCCCTCTCATGACGGCACATGCCCAATTCACCGAGTTGGCAGCCGAGAAGACTGCATATGAGATATGTTATGGGTAGATGATGGGTGACATCACTCGTTGGAGGCCGGATTGACGCGATAATCACGTGGGCTTCGGGGATTGGAGTTTCACAAACAGCCCCTCTTCCATTCACTCCGGGCCGATGACGAAAACAAAGAAAGCTCGTGTCTTGATGGAAGCCAACAGTCGGGTGTTCTCCTTGCTTGTGCCCGAGGGAATCTTTCATCTCGGGCGGCTACCGGCATGTCTATTTGTGCTCGTGTGTTGCGCTTATCAGTAGGCTCTTTTCGGCCGGGTGCGAGTGGCCGAGGGTGTTGGAGCCTGATTTGGCACGATGGCACGAGGCACCTGTCCTTTCAGATGCCGCGACGACGTCTCTCATGGCACTCTGGCAACAGTCGTGGCAGTGTTGGATGTAGGCCCGTGCACCGGCCTACCTCCTAACTGCAACCCCGATCCAGACACGAGCGCTTTCCTCCCGCAGATCGCAACAATGACAATCAAGCGATTTCCCCCTCCCGCCTTTAGGGCGGCCTTGCGGGCCGGGCCACCCTCCCATGAGCAGTGCTGTGTGTGAAAGCCTGTTCGTTGGCGCCAAGAGGTAGGTGCCTAGGTAGGTAAATAGGTAGGTAGAGACTTGGGTAGGTTGGTCCACCCCGCACCTCATTCCATCCATGTTAGTCGTTCGTGTTTCCCGCTCCATCTTATGGCGGCTTTGTTGACCACCGCCGCTATCGCACTAGCCCACCTCGCGGTGGACAGGCCGCCAACGTCTTTCTGGATTCCCACTCTCACCGCCGCCCGTCTTTTTACCGGTCCCCTTCCCATCATTGAGAGAAAATCAATGCTGTAGCGCTGCCAATACAATAAGCCTTGTTGGTCCTGTGGACTCGACCATGCCACCTACCTGGGTAGGTAGCTCTCGATTCCGGCTGACTAATATGGTGTTTTTTTTTGCTTGATTTTTTTCTCTTCGTCCCCTCCGTGTCTTAACACCGGACAACCATCCACCTAATCTCCTACTTCTTGACACACGCACGCACGCATCCGGGTGCAAGGAGATTCAACGTGCCCAGCTTAAACAACTTGGTCAACGCGCTGCGCGACGCCGTCGCGAACTTGTTCCCAATGGCCGTCCAGTTTTGCGACGATTGCGGCGACACGTTGCCCATCACCGCCGATCGAAATGTCAAGTGCGACTGCTGTGGCAAAATGAACAAAAGTAAAGCTTTTCTGCCATGTTTGACGAAAACTGTGACGGACAAAGGGTGCAAGATAGGGTCTATTGTATGTTAAGTTAGATCTCTGCAAGAGAAAGGGGGACGGGCACGCCGAGGGCCCTGTGCCCTCCTTATATACAGTGATCCCCTCTCTTGCAGGCGCGGTACTCGCTACCGCACCCCCGTTATTGCCGACGAGTGCTCGGCATGCATCTTCTACCCTGTGCGGCACTGGTGCCCGTGCAGATCGTCCGAACAAAGGCCTGGAACAGTGTGCCGGCCCTTGGTGATAGCCTCCTTTGTGACAAAAACAGTCGCTAAATTCAGCCTAGATACGCTCATTGGCACCGTCACTGTGTCAAGGTACAAAAACACTGCTGCACCATTGCGTACACAGGGTACCGGTCAAGAAAAGACACATTCCCGCGAAGAGAATCACTGGCCAAGTATTGAGCAAGACTGCCAGTTCTGCGACGCGAAAGAGATTCGGTACACGACCCTCCAGACCCGGGGTGCGGATGAGGGAAGCACAGTCTTTTACTTTTGTCCAAAGTGCAAACAAAGGTAGGTTGTTTTTCCAAATTGCTATCCAAGTTGAACGAGTGACTCGAAAACAGCACCACTAACTTCTTCCTAGGTACAAAGAAAACAACTAGGTCGGGGAAGACTGTCCGTCATGCCAGGCAATCATGACATGGGAAAATGGGAGTGCCTCGGGTGTGGTGGATTCCAACTGGCGACCTGTGCTTGCTCCCTATCCACGCCGCAGGGCGCTATGGGCCAGGGGCGGCGCCGGAGGACACGCTGCTGGAGCGTATCCTGTCATCGTATAGCCCGTCCATCAAGGCATTGCTATTTGCACAGCGCAACCGGCTGCGAGGATCGGCCCAAGCTCCCGAGAATCAAGCCCCAACAAATTTGTAGCTCAAGGCGCTACTCATCGCTATGGAAGAGACCGAAGGCCTTGGCACCCTGCCGGCCGCCAAAGTCGAAGCCAACGCCGTCTGCACAGAGCTGAACTCACTATCTCCGACGCCGCCAGCCACCGCCGCCAATGAACCCCCCCTCAAGCGAGGCTGCCACAATCCTCCTGGAGCCAGAAAAGGCCGTAATGGTCGGGCTGCTGCGCGACGCCAGCATCCTCCACTTCGCCGGCCACGGCCAGTCCGACACCTACGACCCGCTCAAGAGCGCGCTCCTGCTGCGCGACTGGCGGGAGACGCCCTTTACGATCGCCGACGTTATCGACGAGTTCCGGCGGCACGAGCGCCCGCGCTTCCTAGCCTACCTGTCCGCTTACCTGACGGGCAGCAGCCACGCCAAGGAGCTGAGCGACGAAGGGCTGCACCTGATGAGCGCTTTCTAGCTGGCCGGGTTCCAGCACGTCATCGGCTCGCTGTGGGAGGTGTCGGACAGCCACTGCGTCGGCGTCGCCCGTAGCGTCTACGCCGAGCTCGCCCGGGGCGGCCTCGGCTCGGACAGGGCCGTGGTCCGCGGCCTGCGCAACGGCGTGTGGAGCGTGCGCCAGTCCAAGAGGCAGCGCGATGACGTCGTCTCCGGCGCCGCCGGCGCCGCGGCGAGCACCAGGGACGGACACTCTGTCTCGGACCGCGCCGCGAGGCGTAAGCTTTGGTACGGGGGCGATCCGAGGGTCTGGGCTGCGTATATCCACATGGGTCCTTGAAGAGGGCAGTCCTTTACGTCTGGCTTATTCCTAGCCGTCCCATGTTCATGCCCACTCGGGTGGGCTCGAAGGGCCGAAGTGTGGAACCACAGAGAACATGCCACCCCAAGTTGATTTGAACCCACCGCCACAATAGCCAGGTATTCATAGATTCAGAGCCTCTCCGTCACACATTGTTTGCGTAGCAGGCTGTTTTGAGACAAATTCGAAGGCCCGGGTTGGCGTTTTACGCGGATGCCTAGGTAACTGTTCCGTCCCCTAGCTAGCAGTTCTAGTTCAATACTCCATCAGGTTCGATAGACAGAGGAAAAGTAGGAATGGGATTGGATCAGGCTACAGTTGTAGAGGCCCATGTGATTATACGCGATACAGAACCTCAGATCGCCCCGCTGTCAGCGCCTACGTTACCGTCGCATGATTATTCGGAATCCAGAGTGTCTGCCCCTAGTGGCAGTTGTCGTGTCGACACTGGGAACAACGTCGCGGTTGGTCGCGCACGCTCTCAATGCGCCCATATGCTTGCCTTCCTAAACTCGTCTATAATAGCATTAAGCTCGCACACGACGTAGCGGTAAACCTTGTCCTGTAGCGCCGCGCTTTCCAGGTTACTTCTCTCCGTGCCACGGGGTCGACGTCAAATGCAATAATGTGCTCTCGAGGCGCACCCCCGCTGCACAACGCGGTGGCATGCGATGCGGTCGAGATCGTAGACATGGAGTTATTGGCTGGAGAGCTAGCAAGCAGGCCACAGTGACCACGCTAACAACTGAAGCCGAGCTGCTCGCCCTTGCAGAAGCCACCAAAGGAGCTCTATTTGTGAACAGGTGGATCAAGGAGCTGGGTGTCACCCTCAACGACTGCAGCATTAAGATTAAGTGCGGCAATTAGCAAACAATTGGCCTTGTTAACAAAGACCTATACACACTGCAGACCAAGCTCCGGCACATCGATATTCACAATCATTGGCTTTAATAGGAAGCTTACGCCAAAAGAATTAACCTTGCATACACACCAACCGACTAGACGCTTGCGGACGGCCTGACGAAATCCCTAGCTGGCAACAAGATGACCCGCTTCAGAGATCAACTCAACATCAAGGATATCACCAAGCTACTCGGCAATGACTGACACATACGACCATACCCACTGGAATATACGGGATCCCGTCCGCTCTCCCCTAGTCAAACCAGTGAGGGCCGAACTAGTACTCAGGTGGGTGACCACTGGGGAATCCTCGGTGTTGTATG